ACTCCTCCTTGCCTGCCAGTGGTCCCAGCTTTTATCCCCCAGCAGACACCTGACCTTTGTTCACTCAATGCAGGACACCTGGGGCTCATTCACCTCATGGATCCTGCAGGGCCAACCACACCCTGGGGGGAGCTGAAAGGCAAACTCAGCACCTCTGTATGAAGGGCTGTGGGAATCACCCATATGTCAACCTTAATTCAGGGCTCGGGGTTCAATCTCCAGCATTTCACACACACATAAAGGCTTGCATGCATGCTTCACCTCTTAAACAGCCAAATGTCTACTGTGAGGATGTGTAAAGAGCATGGGCTACTAGTACTTTTATTCCTGTGTTTATACAAAATTCCAGACACAAAGTCCTTCCAAAAGTGCTAGAAAGAACAGGAAGCACAGCTGCAAACACACCACTTACCTAAGGACATTTTTTTTTTGTGAATATAATGTCTTTTGCTTTAGAATTCTGTGAGATTATGAAGAGATATAATCCTAATAAGATGCGAGTCTGGAAAGTATTATCTACATGAGGAGGGCAAGACTTGTTCCTAGATACAGCTGCACTCTCAAGAAAGAACTACTGCCTGAAATGCAAATCTAACTCCATACAGCAGAGGCATTTCTGACACAGCTTGGTGCAGATCACTATGGGCCCAGGGAAAAATACTCTCTAATGGTCAGTGTAGATTAGCAATTTAATTCAGATCCTAAGTGCACTTCTTAAATTCATCTCCTGATCCTCTCCACTTACTGTACTTTAATACACACCACACAGCAGTATTAGAATGCATCAGCTGGATTCTTTTAAGTTGAAACTGAAGATGTGGCTCAGGACTGCAACTGCATATCGGAATTCAGTCCATGGCATCAGATGACAGCCAATCTGAAGTGACACTCCCCAGAGGAAATGCAGGGTGCTTGCTGAGTCTTCAGCAATGTTTTTTTTTTTCTCTACAGAGGTGCTCTTACTGAGCCATATCTCAGACACACCTTACCCTTGCAGTTCAATTCTGACTATCAGAGTATCTGATTTGGGTGGGGCTAGGGGAGGCAGGGGAAACTCAGCTGGACTGTAGGTTCAAGACACAACTCTATGAAGGGATACTAGGTGGTACCGCTTGCATCTTAACTGGTGCTGCTGACTGTATGTGGTACGTAGACTGGATGTAGACTTGAGTAGATGGTATTAGAGAACTTGCCCATGTTAATTGCTTGAAATGATAGAAAAGTTTAGAGATATTGGATGACTACAAATGACCAGGAATGTGTAAATTGAAAATCTGTTGCTTGCAGAATGCAGATCATTTAAAACTGACATCAATGCTTATAGCCATTTGAACATGCCTTAAAGCGAAACCAAGTTTTTCCGAATATAGAAAATAAGAAAATGTAGCCGAGATGTAAACAGATCTTGAGGCGATATAAATTGCCAAAGGGTGATTTTCTTCTCTGCTGAGTCCAGCTTTATGTTTAAAAGTTACTGATAAAGTGAGCAATGAAGAGCTTTTCATTACTTTAAGTGGTTGCATATCATAATGGTTCTTAAAAAAATCCATGAGGCTTTCTGGAATTGTACTGACTCAAATTATTCCTCTTCCTCACAGTGAAAATGGCTATCTTCATTCTGATATGGATTCCATCTAGTCTGTGCTTGAAAATCTTTGCCAATACAGTGAAGTTAGTTAAGACTGTGATATTTTAATGATATTTTAATGACATTTCCCACTGTCAAGAGTCCTTGTACAGATGCTGCATATAAAACTCAAGAACTCATGAAAGCTGAACAGTCAAAAGCACTTTTTTGCCACTAGATTGCTACTCTAAGAGTACCTACTCTACCAACGCTAGGAGTGGACGCTCACAGAGCAAGGGAATGTCTTTGTTCAAATGTAGCCATGGTTATCACAAGGGAACCTCAATGAGCGACCTATCACAGTGGAAAGAAGGGGACCATGTATTTCAATGAAGTCGCATTCAGACTGTCAAGGATCCTAAGGTGAAGATCCACATGAGAAAAAGCGGTAACAAATTCTTCTCAGCCAGTAACTTGCAGTAGCTATTTTCTGGTTCCTACTCTTTCCATATGGAAAAATGCAATAAAGATATTTCAATTCATATCTTCAACTCAGTAGTGGTATAAGTAGTGAAGAGTTAAATACAGAAGATTGTGCTCTCAAGCTCCAGACCCCACAGGTTCCACAGGCAGAGACCCACAGGCTTTCCTAAGAGACGAGGGCAGGGGCCCCCCCCATCATCTGAAAGGGTAGTCAATGTTCAGGGATGGTATAGAGGATCCACAGGCCTTATGACCTCTAGAGAGACCCAGTTCAATGGAAAACATAGCTCTGGGAAGACTATGGAACATACAAGGGAATCCCTTGCTTAGAGATCTCGTCTCACGGTTGCAAGAAAACTCAGTAGCAGGATCTAAGTAAAAACATGTTTCTGATTAAAAGACTTCAGAATGAGCAATGTTGTATGTGGTTTTAGTAGGAAGAAAAATTACCTTTCAAGCACCAAACAAGGTTTGAGGTAATGGGATCTCTCTGTGATGTGGCTGTGAGTTGAAACCCTTTTGCTTTGGTAGCTTGTGGTTAGAAATAGCTTGAAGAATAAATGGGTAGATGTAGGAGAAGAATGGTTCCAAAAAACTGCACACAGTGAGGTGATGCTTTGAGGGAAAATCTGTCAGATCACTATGAACGTTAGATGTTTTCAGAAACAGTCTTTCAGAAATTTAATTTTTCAACTCAGCAGGATTTTCTGTAGTTCTCCAAATTCCCAACATGGAGAAGGATCACAACCCTATTTCAAAAGCCTTTTTGAACTTCAGATCACACTCTGTGAGAAGCAGTTCAGATGATACGCATCTGGAAATTGTCTATCATACAATTTTTTGATAACTTCATCTGTTTTCTGCATCTAAGTCATCTAATAATGTACTGCATGGATCTGAGCCCAAAGTATCTCTAGTAGGCCATCCTTTATGAGAGAGATTTTGTGATTACAGACATAAGATAAAACACCATTTATATGCAACAGTGAGAAAACAGTCTGTGTTGAATTTTAGCAAGATTGTTACTAGTGGTGTTCCTATACAAATACGATAGTGTCAACAAACATTTTATTTTGCTTTTAGCATTTCTATTTATGGAGATCTTTTCCTTCCTAGGAAGCTTATTCAAATTCTGGACTTTCTGCTCCAGCTTTATGCCATATTATTTGATTCTAATTCATCATACGGAGAATTAATTTCATTATTTATATTGACAGCCTTGGTGTGCTTATGATCATTCATACGTTAAACATGGTTAATAAAGCTGGTAATGTAGCATTCCCTGAGTGCAGTAAGGCTGGTGCAAAATATCTATCCTTATTAGGTAATTCCCTGTGCTAAGAGATCGTGCAGAAATATCCCCCAGTGTATGAAATATAGTTGCATTCCACTTTAATAGAAGCCTCTGTCTCTTTAAACCACCACATTTTTAAACCTTCCAGTAGCTACTTAAGCTATCTTTCAGTGTACGATGAATCAGATAACATATCTTCTTTGTTCTGAATCGCCTTTTTAATAGACACACAATTTCCACAATTACTTTTATCACCTATTATCCGATTACCCACTTTAAGATTTGTGTATGCTATTGTTCACTGCCTTCTCCCCTGTTCACACTGAATTTTACCATCGAGACTGTACTTTGCTTCTGATCAATTCCAGGCTGATATCCAAGGGGACACATGAGAACTACCTCAGAGACAGAAGTGGACTGTTTAGTAGCTTGCTTATTTCTAGGTTTAAGATAAGATTTCATGCTATGAATAAGAATGAAGTGCTTATGTATCAGCTGATGCTGGTGAAATTCTGTTTGGACCTTCAAGAGTTCATCTGCCATCATGTTCTTGATCTTATCCCATTGCTAATATGGTTTGCTTGTTGAGTTCCTTAGGGTGGGGAACGAGAGGAACTTGTGAACAGCCTCTGGTTTTACCAGTGTATGAGGGAGGAAGTCTGTAGTGGCTGAAATTCCCCCTCACACATAGACCCAGGTGAGTGGTGAACAGGCTACTTCCAAAAGCAGAACCTGTGGCACATGGGCATAGATTGAAGGGGAACAACCCAGACAGAGAAACTTCACTTTTCCAAGAGGTTAGTAGCTAACTGCAAAGCAAGAAGGCATTTTGCAGAGCGAGAGAGTTCTCCCCTTGTAGCAAGGCCCTGTCCTCTACATCCTGCCCCACGGCCCACTCACCCCGGCCCCTGCCTGAACCTCAGGGCGAAGGGCACTTGTGCAGTGCAGCCACGGGCAAGTAGAACGGCAGGACAATTTCTACAAGACATTTCAGCACCCGACTGTTTAGATACAAGTCTACAAATCTTGTTCTCTGCTCACTGGTAAAGGCACTCAGGAGATGAGAGAAGTCAAGTCATTGCATGGGACATGCAATACTTTCTCCTTTTCCCCACTCACTTTCTCCTTGAAGAAGCTTAAAAAGAAATCACAATAAACAAATAAGAGGTCTAGGTATTTTTCACTGCATCATTTTGCTATATTGTGAAGTTTATTAAGAAAGTCTTAAGGGGATTAACTGGAGTGTTTTGTAGAAACCCAGGACCGTGTTATTTCAAATTGCATACTCTTTTTTTCCTTTCTGCTAAGTATCACCACCTAATTCCAACGCGGCACTATTCTTAAAGCAAGCCCGTGCTGCTGCGCTGTCCTGATGGGAGCTGTCAGCACGGTGTCTCCATGACACACCATTAAAGCAGAGAGCAGCACCATCGCTGTGGTTCATCTACAGTGGGAAGCACACAGGCTTCCACGGAGCGCTGCACCCCTCTGCTTGTTTACTGGTGGCGGGCCCAGGCTCCGGGCTGCTGATTAGACAGCAAGCACCTGCCCATGGCAGATCAGGCTCGGGGCAGACTTCCTGCTGCAGCGCCGCAGCTCCCTGAAATGAGATTTATGCAAACTGGCTAAAAGCTGTGATGTCACAACGCACTGATAGACCCAAGGGCTATCTCCCTTCTACAGACATTTGATAGAATCAGGAACTTCACATACAACTCGGAAAGAAGTTCACCTCAGAACCTATTAGGGCAAACTATGAAAATGTGTTAGGGTCCTTCTCCTGTCAAGAGATCTGTCACTGCACAGGGACTTCACAGAGTCCAAGGAGCTCACTTTTTTTTTTTTTTTTTTTTTTTGTGTGTGTGTGATTTTTTCACATCAGTTATTCTGGATGTTGGAAAACTGAATTAAGAAAAATTCACTCAGAAGTTGGCTGAATGTTGCAAGCTTGCAAAATGGAAGGATTTCCCCTCATTCCCCCCGTGAGTATATGGGATTTATTCCTACTATGGATCATTGTGCTCAGAAGCAAAAGGCAAAGTAAACCAGGTTTTTTTATTTGAGAATATCTCTGGTTTGGTCTGTATTTGCAATGCCAGGAAGTTTGGCTTAGGTCAATATATATAGCTAGTGACAACACTGTAATGAATGGTAAATTGACATTTCCTTCCTAAACTTGTATCTGGTTTTGATCTCCACTTGTTACCACAGATTAAATGTATGGTGTGTTTGTAAAATATGTGTATAGGGAGTCATTAAATTTTTTTCTTCAGTGCTGGCTTTGTGACATAAAGTTGAGTCTTTCTTCAGGTTGTAATTTTTAATCATCTGGAGTATCTGACATAGTTTATGTATTTAAGTATCCACCAGTCTGTGAGAGAGGAGTTGCCAAATGTTGATTTTACATACTGCAGTTTTTAGGACTCTGTGCTCTTGGCAATGATGGCATCTTAGTTTCTAACTTCAGCTTCCCTCAAACTGAATTCTCTTAAATTCAATTGCTATGAAAACCAACTGGTGAATGAGGCGAAAAAAAGCTATAGCCCTTAACTACGTTTTTCAATGTTTTCTCCAAGATACACATTTTTCTGTATCCTTATGAGGCCATTTCAATCCTTTCTTTAACTCCAAAGCGCTGTAACAATGTTGTGATTTATCGTATGACGAGTTCAGAAATCATTATTTATGAAGAATGTAATGCCACTAATGTGTACAAAACTTAATGGTAAATCTCTAAGCAGAATGGGTAAAAGAGGCCATTAACTACATCTTATTAAGTTTGTAGGAGCTGACGACATGTCAGATAAAGTGTTTTACTTGGCATTTTATGTGGTACAAGACTTAGTGTAATTGTTCTATGTGTTTGGAAAACAGAAAGAGACAATGCAGATTTGAGAGTCCTTTTAACAAAACTTGTATCAGATTATCTGTTGGTCTTGTCCTGCCTAATGAAGGCTCAAGACATGTTTCCTTATCTTCCACCCAGAAAGATGGCCCTTTGAATTTCTTTCACGCTTTATATCCTCATTGACTGAAAAAACATGTCTTCTCTTCAGGAGACCCTTTTATTCTAGCAGTTCATCATCAGTGTCGCTGAAATCATCTATCTAGCCAAAAGCTGGGACGACCCTAAAAATCTTTTTTTCTTTTTTTTTTTTAAATACACCGAGATGCCCAATGGATCTAATGTGAATGTGTCTGGATAGAAACCTGAAAGGAAACTGAGAAAATGAAAAAAGTACACTGAGCTTTCTCAGTGTTACTTGTTGGGCTTAAAAAAAATCAAAAGAAACCTAAATGAAGTGCTCACTCCACAAACCAGCTTTTCTATTTAAAAAAAAAATAAAATTGTTCATTTTCTGTCCACTCATTCACTCATAGCCAAGTTTTCTGGACTCTTTTTTTCCAGTATTGAGCTACAGTGCATACATTGAATACGTGGAGTGAAAATCTAACACGGGCTGGCCCATACTCTAATTTTTGTTCCAGTTGATATTCTGGCTGAACTGTTTGGATGTACGGCACAGCAGGCAGTAAAAATACAATTACAGGAGCAATTTGCTTTTATTTTGTGATTAAAATGTCCAAAAATTAGTGCTTCGTTCTTTTAAGACTGTTTTAAGTGCACTTCGAGCACTGCCAGTTAGAGCCCCACATGGCATTGCTATAAATGTCTGTGCCTCCAGGGACTTTTTCGGAGGGGAGACATAAGCTTGTTTCTAGACAGGGGTTTCTGTGAAGCAACACTTCCCTCCTCTGCACCTCACCTTTCAGTTGAGGGTGGGCCAGTAACCGCCTTCCTCTTGACTGCGCTGCTGGGAAACTCTTACCCTTCCTTTGGGAAACGCTGCTTTAATGGCTTAGGAGTACTGCAGCTTTCTCTGAAGTTCAGGAATTTTGTGCAGAAAAGCTCCACAGTTGGACCCAGGTCTTCCAGTGCATGATAGAATGAATCTCATTGTGCTATGGAGCAATAAATTACTAAGTAAAATGCCTTTGCGTAAACAGGGCCCTAGTTACATGTGAGTCCCAAAGTAGCTGCCTGTAGGAATCACAGCTTCGAATAGAGATGTATTCACATGAGAGTGAAAATCCCCCACAGCAGCACTCCGTTCCACAGAGCTGTGCTGCCGGTGTGGTCCAGCAAGGCTGGCCCAAGAAGTGATCATGCTAATATTTTTACTCATCTTTTCTAAAATAGTTCCTGTAATTTTTTTTCCAAGGAAACACAGTTAATCTTGGCCTTAAAACTTGTCTCGGCAGCATATCACTGGAAACTGTGTGGAGTATTTCTGAATCACATGCCAGTGAATAGTTATGTCAGGATAACAAAAAAAGATAAGCATTTGGTGAATTTACAATCACTTGGAATCATCTGACAAAGTCATGATGAATAACAGGATTTTTCAGATTGATCATCAGTCGAGTGCCTGTTATCGCTCTTCGCCAATGCTACTAAGCTTTCTCCGAGTAGTTTTGTGGCTTTTCCCTTGATTTTCAGGACAAAGAATGAAGATGAAGGCAACTTCCCATTTATCCAAGTCTGTGACAGATAAAGTATTCTTGCTGACCTCTTGCTTGAGGTTGGAATAAGCTTTTAGATAGTGTACTGCACCTCATGGCATGTAGGAAAGGAGATGCCAACTTCAGACCACAGCTATGAATTGCTGTCAAAGCGTTCTGTCACGCTTTTACATGAATACAATTGATATAACAAATGGCCATTAACATCAGTTAAGTATTAAATTGTAACATACACCTTCTTTGCGTTTGGTCAGAGGAAACAAAACACCTCGGTGTCATAAAGTGCTATTGTTAAGTACTATGATGGTTGTGTGGGTGGGGAGGTTCCAGGGGACGGGGCAAGTGGGTAAAGACTGGTACAAGAGGCAACAGCAATATCTGGTGAAACCTCTTCTAACTAGAGAAAAAGGTTTCAGTAAATCTTAAAAAAATAAACAGAGAGATATTAAAAACAGGTTCTTGGAAACAGCTTTCTCTAATGACTAGAGGAAAATACTGCACCTTCCTGTAGGATGATCAGAGACCACCCAAGCTGTACTCTCTCCTTTGATCACCATCAAGTTTATGCTACATAAACTTCTAAATATTGAATCTATACCTTCCCATATTAATTACTGTACCCTTGATCAGAGGCCAAGATGGAAAGTACTGCCAGCTCAAAGCCTTTGTGGGGATGGATTGGTTCAGGTTGCTTCATTTAACAAGGATATACATACACATATATTTTATCAAAAACAGAGCAGGAAACAAATTAAATGAAGAATATTCCCACAATCTGTAAAAAAGAGATTTGAAGCCCCAGACTTGGAAAACTGAGTATGTAAAACCCCAATGATCTATGTAAAAGCAGACTGTTTCAGATGTTGAGTATCTACAACTTGCTGTGGAGTCAGCCAGATTTGTCAATATTAAGGGAATCACTTTTTTAAGCCTATTTGATGCACCTTCATTTTAGCTCTGGTCACCGAATACACATCTGAACGTGTAAAACTAGCTTTTGAATGAATGGTAGAAATACCTATTCTCAGCTCTTAGACTGTGAGATGCTACTGCCTGTTTCAGTATATTGGACTGGAATGTGGGAGCTTGGATAATCTTAGGGAAGAAGAAACAACAGAGGAAGTGCACAAGTAGGAAAAGTCAAACATTCTTTCCCACACCTAAAATAATTACTATTGTTTAACTACTTTTTGAATGATGCTTGGCCTTCCTGCCAAGCTATACTTCTGTAAAGATGAGTGATAGAGCTTTAGTTTGTAGCAGTGGAATTTTATACACCCAGCAAATGAAACCTAGATTGACAAGGCACTGATTTCATTGGAAACTTATTTACTTTTGCCTAATTATTTATCAGAGCTCCAAGCTTTGATGCATTAAGATACGGAAAGCTTGTAATTTCAGTCAGTTTCTAGTATTTTACTTGAAAGGGAGCAAAGATTTTTCTTTCAAACTGTGTACATTTATATGGCATTTTTAACCTTCATTTCTCCCAACTAGCATGATGTGCATTTTCCATTTGGTTATTGAGTCTCTCCTTGCACAGAATACGAAAGCTTTCCTTTGCATTATGACAACTCTGAAAATGAAGGCAAAATCACATCCTTAGAAATGGACAGTCTTTACATCCCCAAATTCCAAGTGAATGAACAGAAGGGTTAATGAGCAATGGTGACTCTGATGTAGTTTTCACCAGAAAGATAATCTTTTCCTTTTGCCAGCTGCTCATCTACAACCTCCATCTGGATTTTAATGGGAGCTGCTGCTTTAAGTTTCATGTTTCTGACTAGTCTAGAGGAGGAAGAAAAAGAGAAGCTCACCTGCATTTCTGGCAGGCTGTCACCATAGGCTAAGCTCACAAAATGCTGGTGTTCCAAAAATGAGACAGACTTAGGGAGGGAGATGAGGATTTGTGACATAAAGACAGGCATATGAATATATAAACATATGAACATAGAAAGTATGTCCATCATGTAAGTTATCGTGTTGTTTTAAATATTTGTGCTTTTCTTTAAATTTAGTTATGCTGAAGTCATTAACAGAAAAAACATGTTTCTGTTAGTACCTACTAGAAATAATTTCCTTTCAGAACAAAAAGCAAGAAGGTGTTTGGTTTCTACATTACTGCTGACATTGTAAGAATTGGTTCAGATTGGAAGAAGATATTGTAACAAACTTAAATGGACAAGAGTTCAGCAAAGCCCTGTGAAGAACGTGGCCCCACTCTAAACCTTAATTCTGGAGAAAGACAAAACAAAACATTACATGAAGCCACAGAGTTGTGCACAACTAATAATACAAACAGAACACCTTTATTTAAACAACCTAAGATGCTCCATTGTGTTAACACTGGAGTGCTGGAAACTCACCCTGTGTCACCTGTTTTAGGAAGATAAGAGTGGCTAAGCATCCAATAGATCACGACTCAGTACCTGCCCCACATTTGGACTTCAGGTCTTCTCTGTGCACACCCAACAGGCCTGTGCAGCTGATTTGAACCACCAAACATTTATAGTGCCTTTTGGACAAAACCTGAGAAATGTTTTTATGCCCTCTGTCAGCATCATTACCCTCCTGCTAACTGCCAGCATTTAGTGACATCTCCTAGAAATGCTCAGAATAACATCCTTACATAAGACAAGTTTCTGCTTTCTCTTTTGTGTACCAGAGGAATAATAATAGACAAGTTCTGCTACACAGACTAGGTCTAAGGAGATGGATTGCTCTTTCTTTTTTTGTAGACCAGTGTTTGGTGTCAAGCATTTCATTCCTGTGGATTCAATAAGAACTTGAAGCCTCCCCCTTTTTTCCCCAGGCAATATAAAATGTGTTGGCACCTCCTCTTCACTAACTGTATGAATAATTTTGAAGGAATTTGTCTAAGCTTACAGTTCTAAAAATTGCCATTCTCCTTACAGCCCTCTGAAGATATGGTACCCTATGACTCAGACCTCTACCGACAGCCCCATGACTATTACCAGTATCTCAACAGTGATGGAGAGAGTCATGGTGGTAAGTTAAAAATTATCTCCTTGGAGTATGAAATATCATGGGATATCATGGGAAAGAGATTTAGGAGATTCAGGACGAGAACAAACATGTTGCTGTGATCTACTATGTATAGGTATATACTTTCAATTGAGAAACAAACTATATTTTTCTGCTTCTTGGCACTGTTCCAACCCAGCAACTGTAGCACAGTTTCTCTGAAAGATAGTTTCAGAAGGCACTGAATGATGCAAGGAGCTTCCAGGATATTCAGTGTCTTGCTCAAAAAGTGGGATCTCATCATCTCTATCCTTCATTATTTCATTGTGTTTTTACTTTCCTCTCCAGATGAAAGGCACTCTGTTTCAGAACCCTTTGAGGACATGGATTTGCAATGCTATATTTCTCTTTTTGTGTTCCCATCACCAATGTCTCTTTGACTTAAGTCCTAAATACTCTGTTTGTGCCTTTGCTTTAGTTATGTTTCTTTGGTATTCGGCTTTTTTCAACCCCGTTTATTTCTCTTTTGTTTGATCTCTTTTTCATGCTGCCACACCTAGCTTTAGCTTTCACTCTTCCTTCAGTACACACAAGTACTTGCTCTCCCTAAATCTATATAAAACTTCCTTGTGGCCATTTGTATATAAACCTAGCTCAATATAAAAATACTGAAAGCTTTGGTGTCTTTATATTTTCCTGTGATCTGGGCACTGGATTCTAAATCAATGCAGAGGGGAGTCTTGCTCTGTGAATTTTGTCTGCCGTGCAAGACAATGGTCCAGCAACACCACCCTGGAAATATCAAAGTCAATATTGACTCAGGAAGGAAAAGCACCGTTCTGTTATATCACTTGTGGCAGTCCCTTCAGATCCTGGAGTTTCCCTAAAAGACTCCCACTGATAGAGCAACTAGACCCATCACTGTTTGATTTAAGACATCGAACAACTTCACAGCATAGCACTGTTTTATCCCTGGCAACGGAAGCTACAGCAAGGGACAGCAAGTCCCAGAATAGGACTGTTCTGAGCAAGAGACTGAAAAAGATTCCTATCTAAATTTGTTCTCTACATTGCAATCAAGAAACACCTATGATATTGTTAACACCTGGTGGCAGAGTTAATTGAGTTTTTATAAGTTATCTCATGGCATCTGTCAAGTCACATGAATCAAACCCAGCAAATTCCACATGGAAATTCAGGGTTTTTACATTATAACCTGTTCCTGTTTACAGACCCATAAAATGAGGATAACATTTATTACTTCAAAAGGCAATTGCGACAATTAAACAAGAAATATAAAAGGTGCCACGGAGGAAAAAGCACTGAGAAATAACTTTTCTGTCATTAAATCTAGGCTACCTCAAGCAACAACATCCCCTTATCTTTCCCTGACTTACCATCCCATCTGGTTTACTGCCCATTTTTTGTCAGAAGGCTGTTCCTAAGCTATGCCGCTCAGATGATTAACACATTTTTACTCATCATAATCAACACAACAAAAAGTGGAAAGTCACCTATGTGGTTTATGGCCGAGGTAGTACCTAAACACCCAGTCTGAACAAAAACTTGTTTCTTCCTAAACTTGTACGGGACTCATCCTGAAGATACCTCTGCTGCACCCCCCAGACTGTTTAATGTTTTAACTCCTGCAGTAAGTGGTTATGGAAGAGGCAACTTCAGCGCAGCCTGTACATTTCAAACAAATCTTTATTTATAAAAGCATCTGTCATGTAGTTGGTTGTGTGTAAATACCTATTATATGTCCCATGCTTTCCTGAATTGCTCATGGTCCAAAAGAACAATGAACACCCAAAGAATACGAAATTAAGAGATTTTGCTTATTTCCTACAAATACTGACAAACCCAGCTCTGGCTTTCACCTTGGTTAATGTAACAGAAGCAGTAGGTCTTGAGAAGTGCAGTGCATTAGAGCAGGAAAGGGACATCACAAACTACTTTTAGAATTCTGTACTAAGCATTCAGAACAACACAGATAAAAACACAATGATTGAAAAATGGCAGGGAAAAGGAACAAATAAGGTGCTGCAGTGATAGCAGTGAAGTGGAAAGGCTGAGAACATGAATAGACGGGGAAAAAGAAGAAGTAAGCTGGATGGAATTGGGAGAAACAAGTTCGGTTTGGGGTACAGTGAGATCACTGGCAATACGTAAAGAAAAATTTTGCAGGCCTTCAATACCATTATGGGCCTCAAAGGAAAGCTAACAGATAAAGTAAGTAGATACTACGGGACAGTAACACTTCTGACTTTGCTGATAAGGGACTACTAAAGAAATAGGAGATCTTGCTCAAGTGTCAGGCTACCTCTCTCTCACTGCTAGCAAACTAATTCTGTGAAAGGGAGATAGTAATATATTAATCTGTGAATCTGTGCATTACTGTCACTTTTCTAGAACGTAATGCGGAAGACAACCCTTATTCTGTTTTTATGTGAGCAAAGTACCAGAAGTATAGCATGTCACTAATTTAATAGGTAGGACATCATTGCCAATAAGCAAAAAACTAAATTTAATAAGCAAAAAGATACCATAAAAATATCTGGATGTTCATCACAATGTGCATTGTTTGTATTTTTTTTTGTAAAGTGTAGCTTAACTATCTTGTAAGTACCATAATAAACACAGGCACACAGGACAGAAGCTACTGCAAGCAATCGTGTGTTAGTCCACCACTGTACCCTGAGCATGTATGCCACTAAGTCTGTAAATGTAATACACGCTGTTTTGTAACACTGATGCAATCATAGTCATTACAAAATCCTACTGCAGCTCAGTTTCTAAGTTATTACTAAACATTACTGCTTTAGCAAAAATCACTCAGTGTCTAAAGCTGAATGCTGACCCTCATTCACTTTATGGCTGGACTCACAGAACTTACTAGATTTTGTGATTTGGGATTTTATTTTCTTCTCACCTCCTGGAGTAATATGACCATTTCAGAGTCTCAGCTTTGATTTTGTTAGGACTGTAGCCCACACAGAAGTGGAGGAAAGTCCAAACGTATGAACCTTACTCTTAAGTACTACATGGAAAATGCAAAGAACTAAAACCTCATTAAAAAATCCTCTCACTTCAAATCCATCCTCATGATTTGCTGTAGCCCGACTCTGATTTTTTAATGCTTGACATTATCAAAATTTATAAAGTTTGTAAAGTGAGAGCTAATGAGATCCTACTGTCATTGTGAGACTGCTGCCCTGCCTAGGAGCACAGCATCTCACCCCGCAGAGAGTAGTGCTGTAGCAAATAAAGACATCCATTTTCCTGTGTCCCTCAGTAGTTTTCTTATTTCCCTTATAGGCTTTTTCTTGGCTTGTTTTTTCAGCTGGGCAAAACACAGTGGGAACACGTAAGTTGTGCTACGTGGCACCGTGTAAGAAACACTCTTCTAGTTCCAAAGGAGCTGGAAGGCCCGTAGGGCGCAGAGCCACAACCTGCGGCCTCGCTGCCCGGCCCTGGCCATGCTGACAAGAGCAGCCTGGTTCCTGCTCCAGAGCTGCCTCACCGGCTGCTGGGCGCCTTCCACAGCGGGATGCAGATCTACCCACTTACGCCGCTTGTTAATAAGTATCTCCCTTAAGCCTGTTTCGCATTCTAACTGCTGGTTCTGATGTTATTCATCTATCAGAACAGGTGCAAAGCAATTTACACTGGTCAGAAAGATGGCTGAGAAAGTTCAGCTCTGTTTTCTCACTTGCAGGGTGAGAACCTGCCTCCACAGTGGATATTAATGTGATGCCTTGAGGCTTGCTACCGCTTCCCAACAGGCTGACAGCCTCTCCCTCCAGGGAAGGAGTTCACAATTCATGACTGTCCTTCCTCTAACCTTTCACTACATACAAGACCAAAACAAACACGATCTCCATGTCTGTATAAGAGAGATTTTTTTTCACATCCTCTTTCACTTCACATGAAATTTCTCATAATGACTCCCTTGTGTACCTATAGCTTAGCTTTTAATGACATTTTCCCTTACACAAAGAATAGACACTTTCCATTTCTAGCATTTTTCTCTCCTTTCTTTTCCTTCCTTCTACCTTTATGTTTTTGAGGAAAGAGCAGAACCGTCGTGTTACTGACATAACACTAACAAAGAACGTGGAATTAAATAGCCACTGATAGCTCTAATGACTGCAGACAGATATTTAGAATTTATTTATATTTTCAAGTGCACTAATGTAGCTGGGATAGCTAACTGTAGAGGGGCTTGTGCTAAGAGAATTCAGAATTTATCCTTTAAAACCATGTTGTTTTTCCCAAGCATCACTGTGAAATTTTAGATAATTTAGAAAGAAACAAGGACTTTCCTCCTGTCACGACCTAAATATTTGGACATGAGTTAGTGTTAATTTCTGACACAGATAAGTTTTGTCAGGTATTGGTATTACGTGGTCACTGTAGGTCCCCAAATACTGTGCTATCAGTCCCATTCTACTATGGTATTTTTACAGCAGTACCTATTTCCATGAAGAATCAATTCAGTAATGACTAGGCTAAATACTACATAGTGTTTAATGTGAATATGCATAAAGAGTGTTCCATATGTGAATTTATTTGCCAAGGAAAGGTTTAAAAGACCAGTTCTGGATGCAGCAGCAATGTTGTCATAGGCTCCCAAAACCCAAGAGATATCCTTGAAGGAAAAGGACGTGACTGCTGATTAAAAATAAAGATTGAAGAAGAATCAAAAGTAGACCACTCGGCGCATGCACAAATACTCGTGGCTATGCAAGCTGGCCATGTGCTGTGTTCTCTCTTGCCCACCTTTGCTACTACTGGTGCGATGTTCCATAGCTGATAAATGGCCACTGACAGCCTCAGAGACTGTTGCCTCATGTGTTGCCAGTTGCGTGGCCCGGCATAAAGGATACAGCCAGCAGCAAGAAGCATGCACAAACTCTACTATCCATTTCCAGCGAATACAGAAAGAACATAACTTGGTTAACAGGAGGGGGAATACGCAGAATAATATATCCACTCATAGTAGATGACGTAACAAAGGAAGG